AAGATTACAACCTTTATTTCATTACTTTTGTTTCAAATTGAATGGTTATGGTGTCTTTCAAGGCAGGTTGTATGCAACTAGAGACTAATCAAAGTTAAAACATTAATTTCATTATTAAAATTATGCGGAATCCACTATCCATTTCCAAGGAAAGGAAAATTCATTGGTCCTTTTGCAGTGCATTTAATGGTTATCAAGCAATGTTATAATTATTTAGTTTTTGTGGCCAAATTATGAATAAAATATTTATGCGATTATAATTAATTAAATGTTATATCATATTACAACATAATATATCATTATATTACTTGTTATGTTTAAAATAATTACTAGTGCTTTTTTTTTTTTTGAATGGTTAAAATAACTACTTGTATAATTATGTCACGTTGCATTTTAAATTTACAACATGATGTATTATTATATAATTGATTTGTTTTACTTAGGAGTCTGCTTGTAATATTATATATAGCTTAAACCCTCAATTTGGTCCCTGAACTATTATATGAACCCCTAATTTGGTTCATAAACTAAAAAAAATCCCTGATTTGGTCCGTCCTTACTCTTTGCCAATTTGCCCTAAATTGATCATTTCGTACAAAAAACAACTAATGTGTCCATTATTTAACAATGAAAAACAATAACTTAACACAACATGTCACGTTAATAACAAGACACATCAGCTATTTTTTGTACAGAAGGACCAACTTGGGGCAAATTGGTAAACAATAAGGACCAAATTGGGGATTTGTACAATAGTTCAGGGACCAAATCAGAGATTTTTTTAGTTTAGGGACCAAATTGGGAGTCAGTATAATAGTTCAGGGACCAAATTGGGGACTTAACATTATATGTATTCACTAATTTAATGAAAAATCATACTTATTTAATATCATGTTATGAATGTAAATTTACAATTCTATGTGGTGTTGTAATTATAGTATTGTTGTGATTTTTTTAATTAATTAATAATGAAATTTAAGATTATTGTCTTGTTTAATTAATATATTAAGTTTATAATATTAATTTTGATAAATTTTGTATTCTAACCCATGTTGTGCTTATTTGACTAAATTTATAATTATTGAGGGAATTAATTTAGAACTTAATTGAATAGAATTGAAAATTTATTGGTTAAAAGATATTATATTGGACCGCGTGGGGTGCATACAATGCCACGTCATTAAAAAAATTAAATGAAAAAAGGGAGTTAATGCCAATGATTAACTGTTGCAATTTAAAACAAAGTTGAGTGACTAAAAATTTATAAATTTGAATGATGAGTGATTAGGATGAAAGTTACAGTGAAGTTCAGTGACCACATGTGTACTTTACCCTAATTGGAAATGGTTTTTTTTTTTTTTTTTTGAACAGACACTAATTGGAAACGTAAGTCAAGGAAGATGAAATAAAAAATTTTATAATAAGAAAATTTGAATAAATTAATAAGAAATTAAATTCTATTAAGATTGGATTGCAATATTTAATATATATTAGATGTATTAGATTTAAACTACACTTTATTATGTATACTTTTAAAAAAGTTTATTAGGTATTTATTGAGGATTTTTTTAAAGTTTATTCAGTATTTATTAATAATTTTTTAAAGTCCAATGAGTATGTATTAGAAATTTTTAAGAAAAATTTTATTATTAATTATTATAGTTTTATATAAAATTAAGATAATAAAGTTTAACTTTCTTGGTTAAAATTCAAAGTAAAATAGTTGAAATTTTATCCGACCGAC